TACCATGCGGCTTATTGCCAAGTACTAGTATATACTTGACTAATTTGCCAAGGCTCTACCTGTCCCATAAAAATTTTATTTTAAATGAATAAATTGTATTCCAGTTAATCCAGTGGTGGCTAGCATGTGCCATTATTATGTTGATTCCTGGGATGCAGGATTTGTGTGTATTCTTTTTCATGGTTATGGGTTGCCATTGCCTTTTGTCTTTAGTGGTGATATTGTGTTCTTTTTCCCATTATATAAAGTTATTACATCTATGGTTCCATTTTTCTTGTTGTATGTCGAGAAGTCTGTTGATAATACTTTTGATGATTTCCTTATGATGTTCTGCCGGTGTGTATTTTTTTATACTCTTTATTAAGTCCATTGTAAGAGCACCTCTTGCTATATAATTCTTGACTTCATTTGTTCAGAGTTTTGCTTATTTGTTAAGTTTTTTATTGAGGTTGTATTGTGTGGGTATGTTTATCTACTACTGACTTCTTTATTTATTATTTGTTATAATTCTTTATAGATGTCTGCTCCATTTCTTCAGCATATCATGCAGTGTGTGTTGATTTCTATTTGTTGGCAGTTGAGACATTGATTGTCTGTATAGGTGTTCACCACTCTTCTGTGTAGTTTGTCCTTGATAAGTAGTTCAAGATTCCAAAGTCTGTATCTGAAGGATCTATTGTTGTGATCCTCTCAGTTAGTGGACCTGTTGATGAGTGAGACCTCCCATGTAATGTCATTTAGTGTGAAGGTGCTGTCAGTTGTTGTGAGATTGTGATCAAGGCTTCTCCAGTTGAGGATATGTTTTATTCTGATTAAACCACATCTTTTATTAACTTATTATATACTGTACAGGGTCATCACGAACTGTACAGAAGCCTTAATTACATATATAGTCAACAAGTAATTATACATTTTTTGAAGTAAACCTATTTATATAAGTAGCTATAAATATTCTACCTCTATATACAACTACTACCTATTCGAAAAGGCGTATGATTCCTTCTTAATTTTTCCCAGAACAATTTTATTTACAGTAAGAGTATTCTGGTTATCAGGCCATCGAATTTTCTTTATCCTGGACTTCTCGATATTTTAAGTCTTTCAGAGTGGTTCACTGATTTCTCTTCCCTCTAAGGCCTTCTGATAGTCAAGTCTGTGAAATTTGGCACAGTCATATACTTGAATTCTTGAATGGATACCTCAATACTAAGGCAGGGAACCAGGTTTTCTTTATTTGATTTACCATTTTTCCTTTAGCAATATGTTACCAGTTCAATGTTTACTCTTCTTATTACCCTTATTGGATAATGCGACCATGTCAAAGGATAATTCTACCTGATTTCGGACATTCAGCCTTATCACAATCTATATATAGACCAGCTTATATCACTCAGGAACTCCAGTCGGCTGTTGAGACAAACTATATATGGAAACATCAGTTATATACGGTTACGCCAATGGATGCAGATCGTTACCTGCTTATCAGAGGTTGTCCCTTGGAGAATTTGATCGCGGTTCTTGTAATCTGACCTACGGAAGGCTAACCACTGCACTATAGACCCGTAGATCTATATTTTAATATTATTATTAATAATAGAAAAAAAAAGTCTATAAAAATATTTCTTTTCAATTAAACAAGTTAAAAAAAAAAATAATTATAATGTTAAAATATAAATAAAAATATATAATATAAAATTTATATTTTTCAACAAGTTTCTTAGATAATAAAAAGATTTTTGTTAGAAAAAAATTGATATTTTCAAGTTTTTATTTAATTAGACAAAGTTTTTGAAGAGATATTTTTATTTTAATTAAATAAACTCTATTGTAATATAATATTGACATTAATAATATAATAATCAAATCTATACATTGGTAGAGAAATAAATTTCTTAAATATATATTTTTAAGTTTTTCTATTTAAAAATAGTCAAGTTTTTTAAATAGTTTAAAACTAGAAAATATCTCAATTATATAAATTTATTTTGTGCAAAGATTATTTATTTGAATAATAACTTTTTAAAGAAACTTTGAAAAAAATTTTTTTTTTCAATATATTAATTTTGCAATTCATTGTTTTTTGGAATAATCTATAGTAACAAACTGTTAATAATAATTCTGATAGATAGAGTTTTTAGTATCAATTTATTAGAAAAGTAAATATTATTTCTTAAATTTGGTTTAAAGTACTTAATTAAGATTTTGTATCATTTAATCCGAACTAACTTAGTGGATTTCTCATCTTTTTCAAATAATATAGTTCTTTAACTAACAATGTACAAAGACAAGTTAGTTCTCATATGAAAGTTTATATAATATTATGTTTATTTGATTTTATACCATAATGGTATAATTGCAGGTTAAAAAAAAAAAAAAAGTTTCTAATTAAAGAAATTTATAAACAAGTAAAGATAAATAAAAATAATTCTAGAAAAAACTTTTCAAATTGTTTTAAGAAATTATCAAGACTATTAATCCAGAAGTCATAAAATTCCTTGCAAATGTCTTTTATACTGTATATACAGTATAATTTATTTTTTATTTTCAATTAATAGGTATCGATTTCTGATTCTCATATATCTAGTTATTTCCTTGAATTTTTTAACGCATTTAATGGAGAAAATTTACTTGGGTTACGATATCATATACAATATGGTTTATCAAGAAAGTTTCTTCAGAACCAATGAAATCCTGACCAGTTCAAGTAAAGTATAAGCCTCAAGGATAATCATCGACAGTTTATAAGAATGTATAATTCTAAATAATTAATGCAAGGAATGGATGTAAAGCCAAAATCTGCAAAGAAAAAGAAGGCAAAAAAGTCTTCAGCGAAAGAAAATGATAATGATAAAAAAAAAACCAAGAGACAACGTAAAACAAAAAGTTCATCGGACAAAAGGATTGATAGCAAAAAGAAGAATAAAGGAAATGCTAATCCTAAAGTTGCACAAAAGAATGTTGAAAAACTTGATGTCAATGCAAACATCGATACGCCCAAGAAAATTCCTCAGTTGTCTAGAATGACAAGTGTATCGGAGAATGTTAAAGGACTTGACGTTAGTATTAACGTTGGCACATCGGAATCAACCGAAAAGATATCTTCTAAATCTCGTACGTGTCTTGAAGAGAACTTTCAAGATTTTTTGTTAAGAAATTATAAAATGATAATTTTTTTTTGCAATGTCGCCTATAGTAAGAAGGTTTCTTAAACGCACTACTCATGAAATGAAAAAGCTGTCAGAATTGTTTGAAAACTACATGCAAGAATTTGAACGGTCGTATTGTAAGTAGGTCAAATAATTTGGTATCCATTTCATTTAGAATTCGTTAACGGATTTTTGCATTATTCACTACGCAGATTCCGAGAGTAGTCACAATGTTTCTCAAAATGTTAGTCCGTTGTCAACAGGGGGTGCTACGAGGAGATGCGAAGATGAAAGGAGGACAATCATAGGGAAAGATGATCAGAGAAGCAGTGTTAACATTGCTTTCGTCGCCAATATTGTCGACTCTTTGAACTTGGTGGAAGCTAGGCTACCAAAAAATAAATACCTTTTATCAAAAAATCGCGATTTTTGGGAAACCAATCACATTATGTATCTCAATGAGCAAAGCACTAAACACGTTCGTCGTATTTTATGGTCATAATTCTTTTCGACGCCGAATTCCAATTATCTCATGTATATACGTCATAATCAATATTATCTTAATGTAATTATGTAATCTATATGTTGTTTTATATTTATATTATATATATATATTTTTTTTTTTATTTTTTATTATTATTATTATTTTTTTTTTATGCACCTAACATTTAATAATGATTTTACTAAAGAAAGCTTCGATTTTCGTCGCAACCATTCATGATGTCCATGGGACCTCCGCATGTCTAATAAAGTTTAAAGTGAGTAGAGGATTTGTTTTTCTTAAATAGGCGACGTGATAATGCCAGGTATACAGTATATTCATTCCTCTATAGCCAAGTGACGACTAATATTCGTCGAAATCAGTTGACTTCTTTCAAAATATTTCTTAAAGTTCTATTTACGAGCTGGACAATTGGGAAATCAGAATAGGAATAAAGTAGCAATGCAGCACAATTAATTAATAAACGATATCCAGTCCGTCACCAAATTTTTTTTTCGAAAAATAAGAAATAAGGAAAACTTACATTCGGTGATGTTTGGTTCTTTTTTGCAACAAATGAACTAAATACAATTCAATTTTCGGTCAAACAAAATAATGTCTTTTTTTTTCTTAATTTGTAATGCCCTATTTTGCTTCTGATACAAAGTTTCTCAAAAAATCGGGCATCTTCTCTTTAAGTGAGGTCAATTCAAATCAAAATAAATAAAAGTAAAAATAAATAAAATGAAAATAGAACAAAACTTACAACTGATTTTTATTATTTGAGGCGAAAGTTTACCCGGAGTCACATCGATCTATTTCTAGTTTTTGTGCGAGACCGGAAAAAAAAAATAAGAAATTTTAAAAATTAGCGAACGAGCATACACGATAATTGCAATCAAGTCACAGTTTAGTCAACTTCAATACCGATCGATGTGACCCCTTGTTTAAGTTCAGTTTCCGCCCTGCCATCCATTCTTAATGACTCCACAATTGAAGGGGATGGCTAAGCCGAGGCCAGTAGCACGGCGAATGCGAAATTCGTCCGCGCCGACAATTGATTTGATGATTTGAACTATTCCCACGAGGTAGTCCGATTTATGCGGCGCATATTCGAAATCGGACGTTGCCTGCACGAGCTGGTCAAGTTTCTTAACGGTCCTTCGTATCTTCTTGAGGACTCGATCTTTGCCATAGTTGCACATGGCACATGTCCAAACTTCCAACGAATCCGCTTCCCCCTCAACCATCCCAATGCATTCAAAGTGATACCACTCGTGGCAAATATCGCATTCTATCATAGATTTGAAATTGTCAGGTCGACGACAGAAACAATAGTGTTTTTGATTGGATGGCGGAATGTCGGACGACGTCTGAAAACTTTTGACTCGTCTTTCCCATTTAACTAAGAAATCCGAAATGTCGAATTTATTCAAAGGAATTTCGTCATAGACAGTCGGCCAAAGAGTTATTGCAATTTTATAGCAGACCTTCTTAAGCCTTCGAAACCAGCTCAAGGATTTGTCAATAAACTGTTGAGAATCTGCCAATTCAAAATCATAACCACTTTTTGTGACAAAGTCGTGTATTATTTCCAACTTTTCGGCGGATAGTCGAGTCGCCTTCTCAAAATCATTTTGAAAGTGTTCCGTCATCCTTGATGCTACCTCACAGGTTTCATTGAAGTCGTCCATCAGGCTCTTCAGATGATGATCTCTGATGCGTACTTGGAGGAAATAACAACGTTTATCTTCCTCACATTTACACGTTTCCGATGCATAGCTTGCGTGCTCTAGGCAGAGAATTTGTTCGACACATTTAAATTTCAGCGCTGATAGGTAGCTGAATCCATTGCAGTATGCACACACCATCTCGGAGTCTTGAGGGTCGGTGAATATGTGAACGGATCCTGGTAAACTTAGGCTCTGAATTACGTCGGCTCGAAGTTTAAGTTCCTTTAAACATATTTCAAACAAGGGTTCTTTGAGCCTACGTTGAGATGAATTAAAGAGCATAAGAACATGGTTCTTCCTTGTTAGGGTAATGATAACCACCATAGCTACCAACCATTTGACCACATTATAGTCGTGAGAATTCTTTACGCCAATGTCCCACAAAAGTTTCTCATGCGAGAATACTTGGTGTCGTTTTATTTCCTTGTAAAATTTGATCGATTCCCCTCCAAATTTCACCCAATCCGGTAGGGCAAAATTAACAGCCTCATTACAATTCAACTAAAATATATTAAATCGGACAAGGTAATATTGGTACTTTAATCAAATGAAGCCAGATACATATATCTTATCTTTTCTTCCTTACCCCATGATTAAAGCCGGCGTGATATGCCTGAGGAAAAGTAATAACAAATTGATTTGGCCTTTGATCAATCGCGCAAACCTCCACACCTTCTTGTATTAACTTTTCCGGATTCAATATTGTCGTCAATTGCGTCAAGAGGTCTGGCTGATGTTGAAATAACTCTGGCAAGAGTTTTTTTGCAGCTGCTTCGAATTTATGAGCGTTGGATGAAGGGATTCCATACCAAGTCTTTGTCGCGCCCAGGTGCATAAAATTAATGCTGTATGTATAATGGTCTTCGACATGCCAACAAAAAGCGGAGAAAGCCATTCCCACGTATACCCAAGGTAACATCATTCCCGGAATAGCCGGTGTTATGTCGTGAAGTAACGAACCTGTTAATCTAGGCAGATTTCGAAGATTCCAAGGATCTCTACTATACGGATCATTGCGATCTCGTTCGCTGCAGGGAAAGCCGCTGGGAAAGAGATAAAATATATTTTAATATTTGGTGAAAGTTAATTAGATCACTAAAGATTTTTTAGTGATTACCTTCCGTAGTCGGTCGAATTTATATCGGCTCCGTAATAGACCTCCGTATTGTCGTCCATAGCATGAGCGAGCCTCCAAAATTCAGATTCAATGTGATCCTCCATCGATACTTCAGGTGGTACGGGGTGATCTTTGAGGTAAGCTTGTTGAAATCTGTCGGCCGTCCTCTGTAAATCATTTAAAGTGAAGCCATCACCGGGTTCAAAGCCATAATCGGTTCCGGTCAAGAAAAGGCACATCGGACAATTCCACTGAGCGTCAGAATTCAGGTGATCTTTTCGAATTCCAAGGCATTCTCTGTGAAACCGCTTTTCGCAATCTCCTTCGCAACTCAAAACATCATCCTTGGCAAAGCCTGTGGTTGGTTTACCACATTTACCGCACATATCATTAGGCTGAGGGTGATCCACCTTAAGCTCCGATTTTCCCTTCCTTTTGCACTCTTCCTTTGCCTCGGAAATATATTTCTCATAAGGGTCAATAAAGTCGAAGTAGCGCTCTTTAATAGTCTTGGATGCTGATGTACAGGTTTGTGAGTATCCGCCTTCTTTGATTTCTCGAGCAACCTCTGCCCATTGCTTATTTTTTGACACCTGTGAATGAAATGTCGATAAGCCATTTTGCAAGTCCTTACATACGGTAGAACAAGGATAATACCTCGTGAGGACCGCCACGATCTGAAACGGCTTTAGCCAAATTATGTAAATCAATTGGCGCTTTATCTAACTGTGGCAATCTTGTGAAAGGGCGTCCTTGTTGTGCGTGGAACTGCTGAAGTTGTTCAATGTAATTTAGCTTGGCTCTTGTTTCACCTTCCATCGTATTAACCTTTTGCTTGCGAGTTTTAAATCTGAATCTCTACATACACACATGTAAGAAAAGAATTATTAAAACGTTTTCACGTGAACTAAGAACAAAAATGTCAAGTTGGAAAAGGATTACGGTTGTGTCTAATGAAAAATTTGGTCTCCATCCTTCAGGTGGTATTATTTTAACGATACCGTATTTAGAACCTTCTCCTGTTATGCTGGCTATATATTTGTATGGATCCTGAAATTCCGTCCACGTAGGATAGAATGTTTTTCCTTCTGGTAGGTTATAAAGTCGACTTGATTTCACCTCGTCATTATATGGATAGGTTGTCCTTATTGTTGAGAAATTTAAAGGTTCCACCGTTTTATTTGAATTCATAACCTGTTTTCCCTTTGACTTGGTGGCCCTTGTAGAGTACCGGTTATTGGTACTCTCATGAGGATCCATTCGTGAATTCATGCGGGAGGACTCTGATGAGAACCTTCCCTTCGAAGTGGTCTGAGCAGAACGTCTAATGGTCGGACTTTCTTCCTTCCGAGCCACAGATATCACTTCATGGGTATCCACCGGAATCTTCCCAGAGTTAGATTGGGAGGTCATGCGAGTATTGTACGGATGTCTATTAGCTGCCATCTATTGTAAATCGGTAAATGTAATTTTTAAATGGTAATGGGTAAAATTTTTTAAATCGTGAAAATTCTGAGGGTTAGAAAGATTTCGATCGATGATCCTTGTTATAGTGCCATCTATTTTTAGTCATGTGTAACCTAATTTATTTTTGGGTAGCGAAAAATTTTAAATCATTTGCTCGATATGGTTATTTCCCTGAATATCAACCTAATAGTAGCCCCCGCACCACTTAACCTCTAGATTCGCGGTTAAACTTGTGCGTTTTTAGATAACTTCGACAATTCAAACACGTATTTCACGGGAATATACACTATATAGTTTATAAAATAGGATCTGTTTTATAATTATAATTTGTGTAATTTACAGTGTCGATAATTTTTTGGCTTATTCGTCATACCTGCATTTACTTTAAAGAGGCTATCGATAATATGTTAAACCTCCGTATGCAGTATATACATTAAATTATCCGAAAACAATTCTATTTTATAAATAATACTGAACCAGGTTCCCGTGATCATGCCTCATACGTGCCAATATCATCTAGGCCCGATTCGTTATGATGGCCCGGGCCTCCGAATCCGGTGGTCGAATGGAGAGGATGAATTCGATGTTGTTGCTCGATAAAAAAGGTCGCGGACTGTGTACGCGGACGAACAAGAACTTGCTCGGCATTGTTAAGGTACACGGTCTCCGAAAATATGTTAGGGGAGGGACTGGCAACTCTGATAATAGGCACCAGGAGATTACCAGTTTTTAAGGGTACCAAGGTAATGGGGAATTCCTTGGTCTCACCAATCTTTGTTGTGATTAAGCATAAATGAAGTAAGACCGCCATCCTCAATGAATGCATGTGCAACTGAATCAGTTACCTTTGACGAAAAACAAAGTTTTTTGTGACCGGCTAAAAGCCAATTATCGAAGTCCACATGGACATCATAAAAGAATTCGAAATTGTCTTTATCAGCCGAAGATGCGTGATTCCAATAAGACGAATGCCGAATTACCAAACGGCAGTGACACGGTTCGCCAACGATCAGATCATTTGGTTTAGATATTAACAACTCCACGGTGTTGAGAACCTGATTTTGAAAGAAGAAAGTAAATTCGGTATGAAATGCGATGATCACCATTACGAAAAAAAAAAAAACAAACCATACTTTTGAAGAAGGTATGTCTACAGGGAAGGAGATCGTAGACCTGAGATCCTCGGAAAAAGTCTCGATGTCTTTATAAGTGGCTTTATCGCAAATCTAATTATTAAGATAAGAATTTTGGTCGCTAAAATTCAATCGACACGATCAATGTATGCGTTGTTTGACATTCTCACCTGCCAAAATTCCCTGACAACTTCGATCAACGACTCCTTAAAAATTCCATGACTTGCGAATAAGATCTCGCATTGCGATTCGTTCAACTCGCCCAAATCTAGGGCATCCGTCATACCGTAAGACACATAGTCGACCGACTTCAACAAATGTTCTTTGGCATTTTCGAGAAGAAACCGGGAATGTTGCAACAAGTTCTTTGATTTCAAAAGATTACTCAGAGTGTGCGCAACAAACTTTTCTATCTCTGTTAAATGATCGAGATGTGTTAATTATGCCTTAGAATCCTCTTAAAAGATGGAGATGGAAGTTACACGAATAGCCGTTACCATCTTGGAGTGTTCGGTAAGTAACAACGAAGTGAATCTGAGTACTCGGAGATTTCACATGTTCACCTAGACTGTAATCTTTCATAACATAAAGGAATAATATGATTGGTTTGAGAAGCGAAAGTAGCGCGTATTTCTGTCATTTTCTCAAATCTATTTCTGAGGGGGATCCAGCATTAATGACCGACAGTGATGCAGAGCAGGTACCTTTAGATCTTTTTAGCTTATAGACAAACGAGGCGTGTTGTTTCGTAAATAGATTCTTGGGAGAAAGAACAAAAGGAATGAATAATGATGTGTACATATGAATGAATGAATGCGATGAACCAACCGTCTTGAGAACACTAACCACGGTTGGAGACTCTAAAGTTGGTCCGTCGACAACCTCATAGACTTTTGATGGAACCAAAGACGTATCGAGAATTCGCACGGGAAGGCTTCCGTTCAATGTGACATCCATCTTTAGGAACAAACTTCAAGAAACAAATGAATATTATTACACTTGATAGAGAAACGGACCTAATTTACGCAACAACCGAAATACCAATCATCGCGGAAAATATTTAGTTCCGTGACGGTCAATGGTAACCAAACCTTGACCGTGTCTATAGCCGTGAATACACGCGACTTTTCCTTACTCTCATACATCACCGTCACTTTTATTTGTTCCTTGAAAATTTTTTGTGATGGCATGTCAATACCATGGCGACGAATAGGAAACATAAAAATTTCTTTCAAAAAGAGCCAACCTTATGCTCGATAGCACCCCAATTGCAATCATAGGGGACATTGAACTGGATTAACTGATTTGGCTGAGATGAAGGTAGTCGTATCTGGTTCAACGAAACCTCCAGGTCCTCCTCCGAATGAATTTCCTTGGATACCACGCCATCTGCGAAGGGAGAGCATTTTGTGTTAACAACAAATAGTTCGGTTACCGGCTACCTTCAAAATCAAGTGATGCATACCATTCACAAATTTGACAGTAGCATGATATTTGTCGGTTTCCGGAAAGGTTAAATCTTCGGACAAAGGTTCGAGCATCAATGTGCCCTTGGTGACACTGGTTAACCCAGTGAAAATTTGAACGACGAAACATTGTTGTTCACCGATGCGGACTAAATGAAAAAATGAAGTGTCACGCGTCAAAATTTATTATTATCATGTATCTATAACGAATTCGTTGACTTACTGTCATTAGGTGCTATAATTTGCGCTCTCAGGACTGCGGGATGCTCATTTATTCTAAAGGACCTCTTTTTGCTTTCGTTCAGGAAATTTTGAGTGAAAACCACTTTTCCCACAGATAGGTGAACGTTTTCAGCAATATAATTTCCGGAAGCACTGTTCTAATGGATCCCATGAACGAAAAGAACACGAATTAGTAATGGTTTCGAGATAGAATAATGGTATGAATGTTACACCTACATCAGAATAAAGATTGTATTTATTCAAACCGGGCTTGAGTTCTTGATCTCTTGTTCCAAACCAGATTTCTTCAGCTTGACCACTTACCAACCGAACGACAAGATCATTAAATGTAAATGCCTGCAGAAACAACACACACATTATCGTTCTTGGTGACGCCTCGTTAGCAAATGACAATTGGAAATAGAAGCTATGTAATTACCGTGGGCAAAAGGTTCGTCAATTCAACAGATAAATAAGGTCCATCCTCGTCTGTTATATCATCAACGATGGATACCACGGTGACAGTAAACATCGGCTTGAAGGGCCGAAGGATTTCTAAGAAATTTTCAAATTTCGTCATTTGCATGTTACACACAAAGAATATTGGAACAATTCTGAACCTTCTCCTTTTTCCAAGGAATCGCAAAGTCTTTTTACTTCTTCCGCGTAGAAGGTAGCCTCTTCTATAGTTAATAAGGCGTGATTCTTCAACAAGGACAAACACGATAACACATAAGTGTTGAATTAACAGCTAAGGATTTGCGGTATAGCAAGGTAAGATGACGGCATTGAGACAGGCAAGTACTCCAAGAAAAAAAGGATATTTCTTATTTTGTCCCAATTCCCTCTGGCATGCCGCATATTTAAACAAAAGGCTATTTTCAATAACCGTCCATCCTTGTTCACCGTATCTCCAAGGTAAATCTTCCATCAACTGTGCAGCACTTTCAAAATTCTTGCGGTGACTAACGGTATAAACAAAACAAATTATGAAATGATATAAGAAATGATGGGAGGCAACCTGCCTATAA